AGATATCTTGCTCTCAGGAGAGCGAGATCAGTGACCCAAGAAAATATCGCTCTCCTGAGAGCGAGATATCTGACTGACTCAATTTGAGTCATAATTTGCGGTTCTCACCCAATTGCAGGGAGGCCGCAGGGGAAACGACCAAGGTAATGCGGCTGACAGCCATTAGGTAATCCGACAGGTGTAATCCGAGGAAATTCGAAAAAAAACGGGATAATCAGGGGAAAATTTGTGGGTAATCCGGGGTAATCCTCGATAAAAATCAACTTTATCCGGAGGATACTCTACAGAGGTAATCCAGGTAATCCGTAATCCGGCTGACACAAAGTTTAACACTCGTTTCCCCCTCGAGTGAGGCTCCTCACTGCAGTTGGGCGAGGTCAGGAAAATCTTACTCATTCAGATTGTGGACTCGGTGCATAAATATGACTCAAATATGGTGAGTAGTCATCGCTCTGATTGAGGCAAAATTGTCTGACTCATTTCGAGCACGACAACAACTCACTAGAGCGGTTTTCAGTATTTCTTTTTTTTCTTCTTTTTTTCTCAACGAGTGGAGAAAATACAGTAGGACTTCAAAAAGTGCGAGTGTCGCACAACTGCAGCTGAACGAATTATGTATCTGCGTTGTCGATGGGCGACAACTTTTTCCCACTTTCGCAGGTGAGCGAGTGAGCATTCACACCTTTGCAAATGAGTGAGTTGGGGAATTTACATACACGCACAAGACAGCGCATTGTTCACATTCAAAGAGTGCTCTTGAAACCCTATTGTGTACTTGAATGCTGTACCTCCTGCATACCTACATGTATGCAGGAGGTCCTGTGTAGTTGGCAAGTGCAGGAGGTAGTGTGTACTTGGTCAACTACACACTAAAACCTGCATTTAGTGTGTACTTGACCAAGTACACACTACCTCCTGCATACCTCCTGCATACTTCCTGCATACTTGCCAAGTACACAGGACCTCTTGCCTACATTTAGGTATGCAGGAGGTAATACATTCAAGTACATACTTGGGTGTCGAGAGTGTGAATGGTCATGTACCGTCACGTACGCTTACCTGCAACTGTGAGAATGAAGTATCGCATGCAAACAGAGGCGCGTTTGCGCATTTGCGCACCAGCAGGTATGCGTCATTCGCATGATTTTCCATTGACACTATTTTGGTGATACTCTCGAGAAATTACCTCTTTTTTTCACAGTAAACTCAAGTAATTTTTGATATTACAATCATGTTTCTAATTTTATTTCTTCATTGTTCTTTTGCCCTGGCATGTGCGGGTCCGCGCTACTCTAAAAGGCTTGCCGGTGGGTCGAGAAGGGCGCATCGCGTCCCCGATCAGTGACCGCGGGCACCGCTCTGGGCACGCGAGGGAAAGGCTAATGAGGGACAGGGGCAGGGGCGGGCGGCTCGCCGGGCGGGGTGTCGAACCGCATGCACGCGGACGAGCGGGCTGACGGGACATGTGTCCGGCGGCGTGCTCGCGAGGGTCACGGCAGC